ATCTTACTATTCACTAAATGTTAACAGAAAAAGATAAGAGTGGGTAGTCTTTTGTGCTCTGTTTTATTAGTTTTTGTGAGAGTTTCCCTAAAAGATGTTTTCCAAGATTGTCCTCACTATTGTCTTTATACCTCAGGGCCCAGTTGATGTGTCCTTGTGAGTCCTTGTGTGTCCTTCTGAGTCCAGCTGCAGCTGGGTCACATTCTTACGCTCAAGTACAGGGAATAATGGCTCCAATATTATCTTCTAAGTCATTCCCTCCTTTTGATTGGAGATTGGAGATAACACATGGATGATCAATATCTGGTCTTATTCAAGCTCCTAGATGGCTGCCATGGCAGGCTCTTTAAACTCACGGTGCTGGTTTTCCACCGGATACCATCTGGTTCTTCACCAGGATCTTAATACATTTTTAAAATAGACTTTCTATTTAAAATAGTTTTAGATTTATAGAAAAATTGTGCAGATAAAACAGAGTTCCTGTATACTTCATACCCAGTCTCCCATATTATTAACACATTACATTAGTGTGGTACATTTGTCACAATTAATGAATTAATATAGATAATTATTATTAACTACTGTCCATATTTTATTTAGATTTCCTTAGTTTTTACCTAATGTCTGTTTTCTGTTCCAGGATCCCATCCAAGATACCACATTACATTTGGTTGTCATATCTCTTTGGACTCCTCTTGGTTGTGATGGTTTGTCAGAATTTCATTGTTTTTGAAGACCTTGACAGTTTTGAGGAGTACTGGTCAGGTATTTTGTAGAATGACCCTGAGTTGGGTGTTGTCTGATGTTTATCTCACAATTAGACTGAAGTTATAGGTTTTGAAGAGGAAGACCACAGAGGTAAAGTGCTATTATCATCACATCTTACGAAAAGTACATACTGTCAGTATGATTTATAGCTATTGATGTTTACCTTGATCACCTGGTAGTGTTTGTCAGGTTTCTCCAAAGAGCCCTGGTTTCTTTTATTGGAGAATAGTATTAGAAATCAATACGTGGGTACTAGGTGTGTTCATTGCTACTGGGGTATTGTTGCTTCTGGGCCTTCTCAGCTGACATTGCAAGGAAATAGGTGTGTGTATATTGACTCGTGTATACTCACATTTCTATGACTATTTCTCTATGTAATTATCTGTATCTATATTGAGCTAAACATGAGCTTATACTGATGTCTCCAACTAGAGTCCATTACCACGTGGATCATTCTGGCATCCTTCCCTCCCTTATCTGTAACCTCCCACTCCAACAGTAAGAAACCTGGCTGTAACCATAGGTATCCATTTACTCAATTGTTCAATTCTATTATACAAATAATAGTGGTTTCAGAATTGATAACCCCTATCCCCCGGTGGTGTAGTGGTTAAGAGCTTGGTGCTAACCAAAAGGTCAGCAGTTGAAGTCCACCAGCCACTCCTTGGAAACACTATGGGGCAGTTCTACTCTGTCCTATAGGGTTGCTATGAGTTGGAATCAACTCCACGGCAACAGGTTTTTGGTTGGATCCCTATGGGAAACAACTATCAGCTTACGAGCAGTTACATTTGCCTTCAGTCTTACAGACTTCATTTCCGAAGTTACTTAGGTCAGCATCTTTTACCCCACCTCCTTCAGTGATGTTTTTTCATACATTTGTACATAGCTAGATTCTTTTGTGACATTCTGCCTTCTACTCTGGAATCCCCTGACCTCCTGAATATGCATACATTAAGGTTCACTCTTTGGGCTGTAAAGTTCTATGGGTTTTGAAAAATGCACGGTGTCATGTATCTACCATTAGCATTATATGGAATAGATTCACCACCCTAAAAAATCTCCTGTGGTTCACCTGTTCAACCTTTCCTCCTCCCAACCCCTGACAACTACTGATCTTATTACATCTCTATAGTTTTGCTTTTTCCAGAATGTCATGTAATGCGCATCACGCCATATGTATCCTTTACAGATTGGCTACTATGGCAACATACATTTAAGATTAATCCATATCTTTTTGTGGCTTGATAGCTCACTCCTTTTTATCATTGAATAGTATTCCATTGTATGGCTGTACCACAGTTTATCGTTTCACCTATTGAAGGACATGTTGGTTGCTTCCAGTTTTTGGTGATTACAAATAAAGCCGCTATGAACATTAACATGCAGGTTTTTGTGTGGACATGGTTTTCAAATCAGTTGGATAAATACCAAAAAAGTGTGATCGCTGAATCATACCATAAGACTATGTTTAGCATCCCACTCACTTAATTTTTCATTTTACTTTTTGAACAGGTAATGCATGTATATGGTATTAAATTCAAAAGTAAGTCTCCTTCTTATCTGTATTCCCCAGTCCTCCCCCTCCTCTTTCCTGCATGCCCTTTCAAAATCATACTGAGGCATTCCATAACAGGTTTACCCAAGGATTATTTAATTCTCTAGGGCAGCAGTTTTCAAAGTATGATCTGTGTACCCTGGGGGCCTCCAAAGTCAAAATCATAGTATTAGGATGTTATTTGCCTTTTGACTGTGTTGACATTTGCACTGATGGTGTAAAATCAATGGTGGGTAAAACTACAAGTTCAATAGCATAAATCAAGGCAGTGGCACTAAACTCCACTAGTAGTCATTGTATTCTTCACTGCCTGACACCCATAGTTAAAAAAAAAAAAGTCAGTTTCACTTAAGAATATCCCTGATGGTGTTAAAGTTATTAATTTTATTAAATCTTGACAATTGAGATGTGATAAAAGAGAAGTGCACATAAAAGCCTCAGCTTCATACTGAAGTACAATGGTGGACTTGAGAGAAAGTACTTGGGTAATTGACTTCCCAGCTGAAGTAGCTCTTTTCATGGAACACCATTTTTACTTGAAAGAATGACAGAAAGAATGAAGTGAGCCTGCCACTTCAAGGAAAACAATTGACAGTATTATTTGCCAACGAATTCAAGTTTTCAAGTGATAAACTGTGTTGTCCCTCCATGAGCTTCCCAGCTTCCCAGTAATTAAGGACTTCTCTGATGAGATCAGTGGCAATATTAACAAGTGTTATTTTTTGATATCGTATGATGAACTGAGTAAACATCTGGAAGAGCTGCATAACTCAACAAACCAATATTTTTTAAATGACTAATGCATGAGGTTATAAAATCATGCACATAAAAGATCCATTCAAAGTGCTGGATAAACCAATAGATATTAATATAGCAGAGCAGGAAAAGTTTATTGATATGGTTTCAGGTTCCACACTGCAACTAATCTTTAAGAACTTTGGTTTTTGGTATAGTTTTGTTATCATTTCAAAGAAGAATTTTGATATAGTTTTAACAAAAAATATCCACATTTATTTGAAAAGACAATTAAAACACTTCTCCCGTTTCCAACTACCTATCTGTGTGAGACTGGGCTTTCTACATACACTGCAACTAAAACAACCTATCCCAAATACTGTAAATGCAGAAGGAGATGCGAGAATTCAGATGTCTTCTATTAAGCCAGATATTAAAAAGATTTGCAAAAATGTAGAACTATGCCACTCTTCTCACTAAACTTTTTTTTTACTGCTTTGAAAAACATACTTGTTTTTCATCAACATGTCAACTTATGTGTTATTCTTTAAAAACAAATATTTAAAAATTTCTATCCATTTATAATATGGTAAATATTGACAGATATAACCTACATAAACAAAAGCTCAATAAACTAAGAATGTAAATAGGTCTTAAGTCCAAAAAGTTTCAGCACCACTGTACTAGGACAATTTATCTGAGTTTGACTTTGTTGTTTATAATTGGTTAGAGCCCAGTGTATGGTGAAAATATATGTTAACTTGTAGATTTTAGTACAGTAGAGATGTAAGTAATTTTTACCCACTAGAAAAGATAATCTATGGTTTTTGCCGTGGAGCCGGTTCCGACTCATACCCACCCCATAGGACAGGGTAGAACTGCCCCATAGGGTTTCCAAGGAGCGCCTGGTGGATTTGAACTGCCCTTTTGGTTAGCAGCTTAACTCTTAACCACTACACCATCCGGTTTCCATATTTGTATGAGGGTATGAAAATTATACTTTGACACAATTATGAAATGTCACACATATCACAACAATCTCACAATGGAGGAATATTACATTCTCTATTCTGTACCTGGACAGTTCTACCCTGTCCTAAACGGTCGCTGTGAGTCGGAGTCCACTCCACAGCAACGGGTTTTATTCTGCTCCTAGCTCTTTTCTCTTATGCATGCACTCATTTTACATTGCTTTTCTCGTTTTATTTATGTAAGTCACTTTGAATTTCTTCTGATGCAACGCCTTTAATTTCATTAATAGGACATTCTCTAACCCACATAGACAATTTTCTCCTTATCTGACCCACTGATAAAAAACTCACAGGGGCCCCAGCTTTAGCCACTCAGCTCAGGATAAAACCCCAAACCAAATCCGTTGCCATCTCAGAGTGACCAACTGCGCCACCAGGGCTCCAGAGACCCTGTAGGGCAGAGTAAAACTTTCCCATAGGGTTTCCAAGGCTGTAATCTTTATGGAAGCAAACTGCCACGTCTTTCTCCTGCAGAGCGGCGGGGTCGGTAAGCAAAGGAACGCTTAACAACGGCGCCACCAGGGTTCCTTGAGCTCAAGATACCTGGGCGGGAAGTCAGCCCAGAAACTACCAAGCATCCCACAGGCCACGTGACAAAACCGGTGAATCAGGTGGCGCTCCAGCCCACGTGCCATTGTCCGCAGCCGCAGTTCTTCCGCCCATTTCAATTATGGTCCCTAGACGCCTTCAGTGCAGCATCCGCAGGCCTTCTTCCTCTCAGGAGCCACTTTGGTTCCTACGTCAGACTCTTTTAGCGAGGGCTGGCTGGCGGGAAAGCCAGGCAGGGGCTGTAGGGACCGTGGTCACGGTTCGGCCGCCACAACGCATCTCCAGGGCGGCCTGGCTAAGGCGAACGAGAGCGGACTGGAAGTTCCGCGGCCGTGCTGGCCAGCGGAGCCGTTAGCTGCAGCACGCCGGAAGTGGCTTATTGGTCCGGGTTGCTCTGTCCCCCAGCACTGCGTGAGCTTTCCTCCTGGGTGGGCCAGACGACATGGAGCCGGGGTCAGCCGAGTTGTACGACCAGGCCCTGCTGGGCATCTTGCAGCATGTGGGCAACGTCCAGGACTTTCTGCGCGTGCTTTTCGGTTTCCTCTACCGCAAGACGGACTTCTATCGCCTGTTGCGCCACCCGTCTGACCGCATGGGCTTTCCGCCGGGGGCTGCCCAGGCCTTGGTGCTGCAGGTAACAGCGGAGCGGGGCAGGTTCCTGACTCGTGTCCACCCGCTCATCTGCCCAGTAGCCGGTCACTGAGAGCAAGGAGGCCCTGGGAGCTTCAGGGCAACCTGCTCCCTGGCTTCCCGTGCAGTCCAAGTTGCCTTTCTGGCTCCGCCCCCTTTAAGTTGTGGGGTGCTTTACTTCTCCCAGCTTCAGTTTTTTCATCTGGTGATTGTGTAGACCTGTCTGGCAAGATTGTGGTGGTGACCAGATGAGATAATGTCTGTGAAAGTAATCTGAAACGCTGAACGGATATCAGGTTATTCTTCTGTGGGAGCTGTGACTGGCTCTCAAGCAACCCGGTTTTATATACGCGATACTTAACGTGTCAGAAGTAGTAAACTAGTTGTTTATAGAGTCCTGTTCATCCCACAGTGCATAACTCTTCAAGTGCTAGGGGCTGCTTGTCAGGGAATGAAAACGATGCAGGCGTTAGGTCAGACGGGAGGAAAGGCAAATTTACATCAACAGAAATGTCCAGGCCCCAGAACTACAAAGACAAAAGACTCTGGAGGTGGATAGGATGACTGAGGGATTGTGTTGATGGATGGGTATGGTCATCTTGTTTGAAATGTGAATTCCCAGATCAGAGACAGTCATAACGTTATTATTATGAGTGTATGTATTATTGCGGGAGAAAAACCTGGTGATCTGCTCCTGTAAAGGTTACCCTAGGAAACCTTGTGGGACAGTTCTACTGTTGTCACATGGGGTGGGTCAGAGCACACAAGAAGAGCACACAGTGACTCGACAGTACACAACAACAACATTTGTATAATTATTAAATTTACATTTGAGTGTTGTCTATACATCCTAGGTTGAATTGTATGAGGAGCTATTAATACTCATTCATTGAAGTTGATTGTGTAATTTTGCATGTAGTAGTAAGCAAGTGTTTACTGAATGTATTTTATATTCTCCAGCAGCTGTACTGGTGATGTGCACCTGTAAGTAATGATCTCTCTCCCCTCGACACTTATTACAGTTTAGAAGATAAAACACAGAAAGTAATAGAGAACTATGTAAGGCCAATTATGTGATAGAGCCTATGGTGCTACCATTGGAAGGAACGGAATATAAATGATGGTTGAGAAATCAGGGTTTTCTAGGGGAAGTGGGACTTTTGATGGGATTGAAAGAGTATTTAGCTAAGCATTGAGACTGTAGGAACTGGAAAAGATAATAGTGCTGATGATAACTCCCACAGTTATCTAGGGCTTTACAGTTTATAAAGTGCTTTCACACATTATCTCTGGAAGTCTTCCTGTAAGCCAGTGAAGCAGGTTGGTCAGGTATTACTTTCCTTAGTGTCTAAATAAAGAAACAAAAGCTTAGACTGTTTAACTATCAAAGGTAATGTGGTCAAATGAGGGGTGGGAATCGGGCTCAAATGGAGTTCAATTTCAGAACTGAAGGCTGTTCCTTTCAGTGGCTGTCTTAGTTATCTAGTGCTGCTGTAACAGAAATAACCACAAGTGGCTTTAATGAACAAAAATTTATTTTCTCACAGTTTATCAGGCTAGAAATTGGAATTCAGGGCACCGGCTCTAATGGAAGGGTTTGTCAGCTCTAGGGGAAGGTCCTTGTCTCTTTTCAACTTCTGCTGCTTGGTTCGTTGGCTGACTTTCTGTGGCCTGGCGTCGATCTTTCCCCAGCGCTGCTTGCTTCTCTGTGCCTGTGTACTCGTTTTATATGTCAAAAGTGATTGATTTAGGATACATCCTACACTGATATGGCCTCATTAACGTAACCAAAAATCCGTTCCCAAATGGGATTACAACCACAAGTATAAACCCATTGTATTAGAGTTCCAACTCATAGCGACCCTATAAGCAGAGTAGAGCCCCCTTGGGTTTCTTAGGCTGTAATCTTTACAGAAGCACACTGCCACATCTTTCTGCTGTGGAGTGGCTGGTGGGTTTGAACCGCCGACCTTTTGGTTAGTAGCCGAGCACTTAACCACTGTGCCACCAGGGCTCCATCACAAGTATAGGGGTTAGGATTTACAACATATATTTTTGGGGACACAGTTAAATCCATAACAGTGACATATGTGCCATGTGAGTGATCAGATGGCTATAGGAGATAGTTTTTAGCAGGACCTATGGCAGTTTTGGAAACCTTGGTGGCGTAGTGGTTAAGTGCTATGGCTGCTAACCAAAGGGTCAGCAGTTCGAATCCACCAGGCATTCCTTGGAAACTCTATGGGGCAGTTCTTCTCCATCCTGTAGTGTTGCTATGAGTTGGAATTGACTTGACAGCAGTGGGTTTGGTTTTGGTTTTTGGTTTATGGCAGTTTAGGAGCTCTGGTGGCACAGTGGTTAAGAGCTCGGCTGCTAACCGAGAGGTCAGCAGTTTGAATCTACCAGCTGTTCTTGGGAAACCCTGTGGGGCAGTTCTACTCGGTCCTGTAGGGTCACTGTAAGTTGGAATGGAGTCAGAATGGACTCGACGGCAGTGGGTTTTTTTGGTATGACAGTTAAATGCTTTCAGGTAAGTCTTGGCATTTGATCTTCATAATGTCCCTGTGAAGTTATTATATTAGGTGCTGTCAAGTTGGTTTCAACTCATAGCGACCCTACATACAACAGAACGAAACACTGCCTTGTCCTGTGCCATCTTCATAGTTATTCTTATGTTTGAACCCATTGTTGCAGCCACTGTGTCAGTCTATTGTTGAGGGTCTTCCTCTTTTTCTCTGAAGTAGATAAGGTTATTTTTATGTGGCAGATGAGGGCACCAGTTCAGCAAAGTTAAGTGATTTGCCTAACAGCACACAGCTAGTTTATCATAGAGCTGGAACTCAAAACTTCATTTTTCTAATTCCAGATGTTTCTACTCTGTCATTTAACCATTCTGTAGTAGGGCGAGAGCACTTTTGTCTAGGATGATTGAAAGCTACATTTGTGGAGTACTTGTTTGTACTAGTTATTATATTAGATGTTTTTTTACATTTTGGACTGTTATTTAATCCTTACCCCAACCTGAGAGGTTGGTCTTTGTCCTTATTTAACAGATGAACTGACAGAGGTAGTTCATTCATTTATTCTGTAACCATTTATAAAACACCTGTTATGTTCCAGATACTCTTTTAGGTTAAGAGTTGGTGACCAGTTTAATGACGTGGTAGAGGCGGGGAGAAGGGCAGAAGAAGGGGAGAGGTGATTAAAAAATGCTCCAAGTTTTCAAACTTGGATAATTGAAGTAATGATTGAGCATTAACTGGACTGTCACCTGGTTTTGGGGAAAAGTTTAGTTTTAGACAAGGTGAATTTCATATTGCAGATAAAAGTCCCTGCTCTGCAGGGAGGGTACACTGTTGGGGAACAGTTACAGTTAAGGGATAGGAAATGCTAAGGGAGATGTGAGTGGTAGGGAGATGGGAGGTAAATGAGCAGAGCACTAAGTTTAAAGGAACCAAGGGAACAGAGTTTCCAGGAGATGGTTAAGAGAGTATAGTGTTTTCTGGAAGTGGTTCTCAACCATCAGAGTCACCTGAAGAACTTTACTCTTTTTTTTTTTTAATTGTACTTCAGGTGAAGGCTTACAGAACAAATAGTCTCTCATGAAACAGAAGTACACATGCTGTTTTATAACATTGGTTAACAACCCCACAACATATCAACCCTCTAACTTCT